GACCCACTATCCTTTTAAAATGGTAAATGGAATATTAAAACTAGTTACTGATTTGACTCATTCGAGGCTTAACCTGTCATACATGTATCTTCTTAATTTCTGTCCTCTCAAAACCGCTTCAGAACTTTGTATGAAGTGAGAAAGTAATTACAAAGTATCTTAGATATTTTTTACTGCGATGGTGACAGAATAATCAATCAAAATCTGCAAAATGGAGACATTTTTCAATCTTTAAGGAATATGTGTTAAAAACCTAAACAAACACAGAAGAACTATGTCCAACTCTTTAAAATGGAACAACGAATTCTAATTACCTCTTTTTGAAACCTCAACCATGGCTTGCTGGAATTGTTTTGCACTTTCCTCTGTGGTGCTCAAAATCTCTGTGTTTTATGGAGAGGTTTCATTGATAAAGTGATCAGACTGAAAATTGAAAGATTTATCTACATTATTCATGCCACAAGGTAGTATTAATTTTTCAAACATTTTCAAAAATTTCCAAACATCTCGTGACACACACCTCAGATTTGTAAACGAGCTCCTAGGATACTCGCCGCCACCTGCAGGAGCAGGATCAGAAGCAAGCCTATGAAAAACTGAAGAAGAGGAAAAGAAATACACATTACTCCTCAGTGCATTCAGTAACATCGGGGGCATTTTGGCACAGCACTTCTCCATAATCACAGGGCACAACCGTGTCAGTCACACTCTTCATTTATTCCACTTTTTACTTCAAGCTGAAAATTTTGGGTTCTTTACTACTCAGAAAACTTTGCTCCAGAGACTGATCGAGGAAAGTGGTTCAGGCAAAAAATTATCAAAACAACTATTGGTATCTGTATGATATTGACTAGAGGGAAGTCTGAAAACTGAGATGAATTTATTTGAATGTTGTTTTACTCCTTCCCTTTCTTCATCAAACACAAGCTCACACAAACTCAGAACTGGCTTTGAAACAGCATCTCCAACTACTATCAGAATCACCTGGCATCTTGTTACATATATAGATTCCTGAAATCGGCCTCAGATATGCTGAATCATAATTTAGAAGGATGCAGCCCAAAGACAGTTAGTTTTTTAAAAAACAAGCTCCTTGAGTAATTAAATTCTTCAATTGCAAATGAGGCCTTGCTTTTCAAAAAGCAATCAGTAGGAATGTTATTAGAGTCCCTTTAAAACTCTGTCTCTATCATCCCTCACAATAATCAAACAGTTTTAAACATTTTTTCTCAGGTACTGATATAATCCTTACTTTATTAGAGGAATAAGTTTAGATTAGATCTGATAAACTTTTATGTCATATTTGTATTTGCTAAACACTTGATTTTTTTCCGAATATTTTAACTATATCCATTTTCTACTGTATATGTTAAAAATGAATGTTTATGAATTATCCAAAACCAATTAATCTTCCTCGATGCTCTCTAAGAGACAATTCTGATTATCTCATTCATTTAATTTTTTTTTTTTTTAGCATGGCATGTAAAACACCTATGATTTTACCACAACCCACACTTGCATTCATCTTCCACCATTTACTGGAAACAGTCTTGCCGGTCTCCTGCCATACCCAAGGCTTCTCAGTTCCCAAACACACCAGCTTTCCAGAAAGCTTTTCCTACCCTCACTCATACAAATACCTTATTCACTTCTGCCCTGGTTTGAAAGTCCCATCCCCTGTCTTGCCCTTCGTTTCTGGGGCCACTCCCACTGTAGCTATTTGCTTACTTATTAATCTTCCCCTAGTAGGTTCTAAAGGTCTTATGTATTATTTAGCACAATATCTGACACACAGAGGTATGGCAGTAATGTTGAATGAGTGAATGAATGAATAGATGAATGATTAAAATTTGTTTCCTTTCAGAGTATCCTCCAGTTTCTAAGCCAAACTAAGCCAAATCTAAGCCAGATCAGCTTACACACTCAAACCTTCTAAAGAGAAGTTGGAGGTAGAGTTTCATCGATCATGGCATTTTTTAACAGACAATAGGGATGGGAGAGAATTCTCTGGAGTCTGAAGGTTGGACACTGGGATTTGTTTAGAGAACTCACCAACAGAAGCATGCAGCGACTTTCTTTTATAGCACCGCAGCATCCCAGGAATCCCATAATCATGATGATGGCACCTACAGCAATCAATATGTCCGCAGCAACATGGGAGCTAGGGCCCACATTTGTAGAATTTAAAATCTGAAGTAAAAAAGAGATTAATGGCAGAAAATTTCTTTCCTTGAAGTTGATTTTGCTCATTCAGCAAATATCCATTGAGTGCCTACTATGTGTCAAGTCCTGTGCCAGCACCTTGAAATACATCAGTGATCTTAAAAAGTACAAATCCTGGCCCTCATGGAACTCACATTCTATTGAAGTGCTATTTGCCCAAATAATGTTTCCAACCTTATATTTTTCTAAAATGATATGTTGAAAGCTGGGTAGAAGAAATGTAATAGGTTTTTTTAAACCCTATTTTAAAAAGCTTAGGACAGTTACTTTTACTTTTCTTGATGTAATCTTTGGTTCACATATTTTGTGTATTCTACATAATGTAGCATTATAAAGCTTGTGTTCTTATGGTTTTTAATTCTTTAAAAAGTTCAAGTTCTTTAAATTACTGATAGACACAAAAATATGAATGAATTTCAGAGTCATTATGCTGAGCTAAAGAAGCCACAGAAAAAATTAAACACTGTATGATTCCATTTCTATAAAGTTCAAGCATAAGCAAAACTATGGTTATAAAAATCAAAGCAGTGCTTGACTTTGAGCAAGGCAGAAGGGAAAACAAGAGTTAACTGAAAAGGGACATGAGGGAACTTTCATGGGTTAATAAAAATGCATTGTATCTTCATTAAAAAGAAATCCAGTTCCTGATATTTCATATCAATTTTATCTCCTTGTTCCCAGAAGCCATAGTCCATAAAGTCATCTAGAAACTCTTTATTTTGACTGTTAGTTAATGAGATATGAGAGGAAAAAAATCCTAGGGTTCTTTATAGTGGGTGGGCTACCCATCAGGCATAATTCAGTTCTCCCAACAACACACACATACTCGTCTTCACCACCCTCATAACACCTAGCCTCAGTCTACCTCTTGTCCTTGATATGTGGATTTATCCAGAAGTAAATCAAATGAAAAAGTAAAGCCTTGTGCGTGTGTTATGCATAAATCCTGTATGTAGCCCATTTGTCTTCTATAACCTCTATCTACTGGGCTCTCTCTAGATAGAGCACTAGTTCCTAGACTAACTCGAAACCTCTGCCTCCCAGAATGGGCTATATAGCATGGAGGTCAACTCCTTTAATAGTCAATACAAAAATGACTGCTATGCTTTAATGATATTTTTGTTTTTCAAGGCTTTCTAATTCTACTTATTGCCTAGAGAAAACTTTTATTCAACAATCAATAGGAATGAATGTGCTAAAGTTATAAAAGCATTAAAACAAATATCTATATTTTGTCAGGGTCCTAATAAATATGGAACAGTCACCCAACCTACTGGGCTCCAGTTTCCCCATTTATAGAAGGGAATTGGGTCAACCTCTGTGATAGCTAGGCCTCCTTTGTCTCTTAAAAGTCTATGCCTACAGATAATGTTTCAATTTACATATTCTGAAAGCTTGGTTAAGTCCTAAAGATTTTTGTTTGTTTGTTTTTATTGTTTTCTTATTAATATTAGAGCTAAAAAATCAGTTTTGTTAATAAACAGGCATGACATTGGAATAAAAATAAATGTGACAAAAATAGAAGCGTTAGGAAACTAACTCTATGGACTTACTGCTAAATATTGCTTCACTAGAATACTGCGGCCAGTACAGGCGAACCCTGTGAGAGGATGGAAGCCTCACTACCTGGGTTATCAGAATTTAGAAAAGATACCCCAGACATACAAATAATAGTTCAAATATCTACACGTGAGGCCAAGATAGTGTGACCAGCACTTGTGCAGCAGGTAGTGAAACACTTCTAGGAGGCTAACCTGGGCAGGGTGACCCACTGCCAGAGACTAGCCAGAAAGCAGTGTATTGACTGTCTAGTGGTCATTGTTCCCATTCCAGCCCAACAAGTGGTTATTCTTATTCAAGAATGAAGTGGAAATCTGAGTTCTGATGTTTGCACCAGGGGAGGCACAGCAGGGTTTGAAAAGCTGTCTTGAATGAACACTGTGTCCCTGTGTGTCTTAGGACAAGGGCAGACTTTCAAGACAGAGAAATTCAGCTGGGCCTGAAAGATGAGGACTCAGGAATCCTCTTTGGATCAGAAGGGACCTCCTGGGACAAGGATGGCTGCCCATGTGCTTTTCCTCATGGTGTTAAGTTTATCCTGAGGTAGAAAAAAGGGTCCCTATGAGACACTTCAGCAGAAAGATCAGTCATTTCCCTAACATCCTTCTTTTCTGTGTTTATGTTCATGTTTTTCCTTCTAAAACAGCTACCTCTGTTTTTTTCACTAATAAAAAATTCAGCTCTTTGCTTAGTCTTGATTCTTTGTCACTGGCTTGAGATAAATACAAACCAAGCCAATTTTATATAAGTCAAGCTGGTTAATGTTGTCCTGGCAGACACTGGCTTTTGTTCAGGGTGAGAGGCTGATGAAGTGTGAGTCAAAATGTAACTAAAGGTGCTGTCTAACTCTATTAATTCATTCTCATCCCCAGATGTAGAGTAGCACCCTCTCAAGGACAACAGTTCCCCTTTAATACATCCAATATGTACAATTTTTTAACAGACTAAACACCAAATTTGTTTACTAGAAGCACTGGGAAGGAAAGAAAATATCAACAGGAAGTAAAATAATAAAATAAAATAAATTGCAGGCTGCACACACATCTTGAAGGGCCAAAGCACCCTGGAAGTAGGTGACTGTTAATCTCTGTGCTTAATTATGAGTCCCAAAGTCAGACTTCAGATCCTATAGGATGGAAATTCTGCACATTTTCAAATGCTCCTCTTGGGCTCAAACACCAGAGGTTCAGGCCATCAGGAAGTCACAATTCCAGTTATTAGTAGAAAACAATCAGTGAAATCCTGATGGACTAGGATGTTACTAAACAGCTGCCACACCCATCTCCCACCATGATGAGGCACAGAATGTAGAAGCCACTAATTGCCACTGTGATTCTCTGGGCTTTCTAAAGACAGAAAGCAAATTTTAGAAGGAAAAGAACAACAGGAGAGAGAGAGAGAAGAAACAAAACAAAACAAAACAAAACAAAACAAAAAAACAGAGATAGAGTGAGAAAGAAGTTTTCAGAAAAGCCACCCACTGTAGCAAAGAAAACAGAGCAGACGTTAATTCCCTTTCCATCTTTCTTTCCACTAGGCCGTGTTCAAAGACATTTAGCTGCACCATGATATAATACGTTTTAGTAGAAAATATATTGTCTTACTTGCTGGCTTAATAATCTCTCAGTAATTATCAACTTGGAATCAAAGTTCTCCTCAGAGAATAACTCTCTTTATGTGGGCAAATACCTTAAAAAGGCTCTAGCAGTAGAAGAGGTGATCCTTTAGTGGCAAGAGCCCAGAAAACAAAGAACAAATAAATGGCTCTGAATGTGTTACAATAATAATTTGCAGGGATGGAGCCCCAGAATAGAAGAGGGGAGAGAAAACAATAAAAGCACGGGAGCCAGGAAATGGTGCCAGGGTGGTATTATGTTCCGTAAAACTGACAGAACAATCCCTGCACACTCGCCCCCTCCCTCTTCCCCCAACTCTTCCCACATTTGGGATACTGTGGCATGGAACAGATACCACACATATGGAGTCCAATAGCTGGAGCCAGAATTAACCAAACGAAATACGCTTCCTCCAGTCCTGTAGATCTGGGTAAGAGCTTTGGCACTGGGAACGGAATGATGTGTAGGGGAGGAAAATGGGTCATGTTAATCTTACACATATAGCAAAAATCTGGACATCCCCAGAGAATTACCGAGTTACACCGAGTTAGATCAGCCACTACTGGCAAGCGGTTACCTTTACTGCCAGTTGCCACAGGTAAATAACAACTACCCTTGTACCTTGTTGCCTTTAAAATACAGATTCAAATTATTCTTTTCCAAGAAAACTTCTCATCTTCTTTCCTTTTAGACCAACCACATTGGGATCAACTAAATTACTGTCAATACCTTCTATTATAAAAATTGTTCTTCTTGGTGAGAAGGAGAGGTGGCCTATATCCTCAATATAGGCCTTAAACAAATGGTGGCCTTAAACAAATAGTAAAGGAGGAAAATGTCCACTTTGGCGCCTTCCCACCTGCATCTCACTGAATGTTTTTGAAATTTTTGAATAACACCTCCTCCATTCTCTAGAAAGATTTTTCCACCACTAGCACAGTGCCAGCCACATAGTAATTTTGATGGATTGATTTAAATTATAAAATCATGTAACAGCATAAGTAATTACATGAAGTAGTTGAGAGAAACACTTTAGACATGTTTATTACTATTATTGTCATACTTTCATGATTATAAACGAAATAAACTACATTGGGGAAGGGGTGACTTGTTTTTGCATACTTACCCCTTGAGAGTCACTGCCTACTCGTACCCATATTGATAATGCTAGGATCAAGATACCACATAGCTGCAGAAAAAAAACAAAACAAAAAAAAGAATATAATTAGGATCATATGAAACTCTGATTCCACACCCTCTCATCTATCCGGTGACAGTAGTTTATCATTGACTATACTATCACAACCTGGAAGACATACATGAGGCATATTCATGTACAGATCATTGTTGAAATGTTACATTGCAATTTGTAAGTTTGATGAGAATAATTCTATTTTTCATCCACAACTCACTCATAGGTCTATGGACAAGAAGTTATTTCCATTAGGCCTGGAAAGATTATTTTTCCATGTAACTCTAGCCTTGTGTTTCTGTTAGATTGTAGCATACAAAAGAAAAGTCACAACAGTTTAAAGATAAAATATCTTTATCATGCTTCCGGGTTTGTTTGTGAGAAGCTATGTTGGACCAGGAAAAAAGGGAATGACTGAATAGTCACCATTCATTTAAGATTCGAGAGGAAGGGAGAAGTTGGGATAGACCGGAAAAAGTAAAACATTTGACAAGATGTGCAGTTAAGCAACAAGGCTACACATTAAACAACAGTTTTTGAACCCAAATAAACTATCTTAAAAACAAGCTCTTTTAGGTGGTAAAGTTTACTCAGAGAGAAGGAACAATGAAAGACAGAACTTAAAGTCTTAAATTCCCTTAATGACTTTACCAGATTATTTAATTTGGACCAATGCCAACACAATAAAATGTAAAACACATTTTACTTTAGTGTAAGGAGAACTCTTGTCATTCAGGGTTTTTTTTAAAAAAGTTATGCATTGTGGCTTCAAAAACAAAAATCAAAGATCTATTATTAGATAGAGATGTTAAGAGCTGGCCTGGTAACATACCAGATACAGCAGGCCTTGGAGGACTGAGTAGACAATTCTGACCTTGCTGTGCTCCGACAGACAAATGTCCTTGGAGCATCACTGCTTTCGTGCATGGTTGAGACATATGCCTAGAACCTCCAGACGGCACTTTTAATGGCTTCTCATTGAGTTTGCAGGGAAAATAGAGTCAAGGGCTCTGTTAAGGACTAGGAAGCACAATGAGTAGTTGAGTAACCATAGACTCTGTGCTCCCTAAAAGACCTTGAAAATCATCTAGGTCTAAACCCCTCATTTTGAATGGAGAAATTGGAATCCTGGGTGCTAATTATCATATCATGAAAATGCGGAGCAATTCCTAACCAACCCGCCCTTACAAGATACTTCAACTCCTACAAAATAACGAATGCAATTAAAAACCAAACCTCTTTAACCACCAAATAACCTATGCTATTATCTCATACACACACATAAACACACACACACCATAAAATACAAATGATTCAAAAACACAGCCTTTGTGTTTGAAAATTTTCCTTACTTCTCTAACCCTGAGATTTACAGCATCCTTTCACTAAATTCTAATTTCATTTGCAAAAGAAGACAAATGCTCATTTTAGCAGTTCTTTGTTAAACAGTTTTTGAATGATAATTTATGTCAAATGATAATGAGACCCTCTGGGATTTTCAGTAATTTCATACCAACTGAATTTTTTGTTCGTTGTTTAGTTTGTTCACTGATTATCTTCTTTCTTTTTCTTCTCTTTTCACAGGCAGATTCATAATGATCGGCTTAACAGTCATTCTGGCCTTTAGCTGTAAGTAATGAACCTTATAGCTATTATGAGTAGCATTCTTTCCTGATATTTGTTAAACTATCAGTGAAAAAACTTTAAGAATTCTTAGTAAGAGCTTAGTAAGAACTCACTGTGATATTTTTTAAAACTTTAACTTTTTTGTTTGTGTATTACTATTTACTTTTTCAAGGTATTTAGACATCAAATCATTCACAAATCGTATTAAATCAATCATATCTGCCCCTCAGACAGCAACTTTTAGTCTTCTCAGCCACTGAAAGTTTTCTGTAACATTAACATTTAAAAGAAAGAGTACCCAACTGTTCCAGAAGTCAAAAGTATTTTGCCCAACTAATCTTCAGAATTAGACAATCTTTTTCAGGAACTATGAAGCTGGCCAATGTATCATTTCCATCCCTAACTCTACCTTTTCAAACTTCATTTTAAAAATGAAACAAATGTTTAGAGTATATCATTCTCATCTGAGTGGAGAAATTCCCATGTAAATATCAGTCTAATATCATGAAATTATTCATAACTTTGTTGAATGACTTTAAAAGTAAATTTATTTTCTATCAAGAATGACCATCCTAGAGCCATGAATAATACTGAACTATTTCATCCCGTTATTAAAAGATTGACCATTATAATGGTTCTTTGAGCCCTTTACCAAGTTTAGCTTTTAGGGTTTTTCCCCTAATGTTTCTATACTATTTTAAAGGATTAAAAGTATAAATTAATAAATAAATGCCTGCTCTCTACTTTCTGTTGATAACATTGTAAAAGTAAAATGGGTTAGTATCGTGATCCCAGGACCCTGCAGAACTGACTAGGCCTACCTTTCCCTGCTTCTGGTTTCTCTTTGAAGAGAATCACTGTGGTTTCCATTCAGCTTTCACGGAACAGCCATCATTTTATGGAATTTGGATGCAACAGGTCTGAACTAGCATCTTAAGAAATTAGGCAATTTTGATATTTGCTTACAATGGACTGAATTGTGTCTCCACAAAATTCCTATGTTGAAGCCCTAACCTCCGGTGTGACTGTTTTTGATGATAGGCTTTTAGAAGATAATTAAGACTAAATGAGGTCATGAAGATGGGGTTCCAATCTGATAGCACTGGTGACCTTATAGGAGAGATATCTTTCTCTCTCCACTCACACCCAGGGAAAGAACATGTGAGAAACATGAGATAGCCAAAGAATGAGGGTCCTCACCAGAAACTCAACTGGCTGGCACCTTAATCTTAGCCTTCCTAGTTTCCAGAACTATAAGAAAATTAATTTCTGTGGTTTAAGCCACCCTGTCTACAGTATTTTGTTATGACAGCCCAAGCAGACGACTAAGAACAGGCAGACGCTGAAGAACATAAAATATCAGGGAAAAAAAAGGGGGGAGAGGGGAGAAGATACCATCCAGAACAAAAACAAATGGTAGAATGTTGATTTGTCCTCTTCTCTAATAATGTGTCTCCAATCATCCCTACTCCTTCCCTCCAAACTCTACCCTTTTATTTGGATGTTTATTGAAGTATGTTTGGAGAATGCTGAAAATGCTATGTGAGGAGGAGGAGTGGATTTTGAACTACATCATAATTGGTCCCAAAATGGACACCTTTTAGATAAGCTTAAGAAACTCTTCCTGTGCTGCTCCTGAGAGGATAAAAAATAAGAAAATATGCAAGTGGATAATTACAAAATTTGTTTTTATGATAACCACAGAACACTAGAGGCGACTCCACGATGATAGGGAGCAAGGATTCCCAAAGCCCTGACATACTAGGACTGTACTGCTGTTGCTACTGTTATTGTTCATTTTCAAGTCTCTTCTTTTACTAAACATTTATTTTAAAGTCTTAGTTCAATTGCATTGTGGTAAGAGAGTGCAGACTGTAGGATTGTTACTTTTGAGTTTTTTTGCATTTCCTTCATCAATTTCTAAAGATTCAGAGATACTAGAAAAGACAACAAAGTCTCAAGAGGCTACAAAGTTTATTAGAAATTTATTAAATATACTTTATTCATTAAATCATTTAGATCCCCTGTATCCATGTTTTTTCTTGTCCTTCCTGAGTTATCAAAAACTGAGAGGTGGGTTGTGTTAAGCTGAATTAATGGAGTTTGCGTTTACTATTCTGTATCTCTAACAGTGTTTCCTCCATATAATCTAATAAATGCTATTTAGTGTAATCAGTCTTGGGCTTTAGCACAGAGTAAATGTTACTAAACTGCTATTTTCTATTACATCTCTTTCCAAATATCCTCCCAATTTACATTTGAGATAATAAAAAATGTAACTATCAAGACACGTGACTTCTTTATTTCCAGACCTAAAATGGTTAGCCATTTAACCATGATTTTCCCACGCTTCAACTATCCATTTTTACTTATACCTTAATCATTTTGGATATGTTTCAGTAAATTTTACAGTGTGAATACCCAAAGATCTCTTTCTCTCTTATTCATTTGTGAAAGGCTCTGAATACTCAGCAGACATTGCTCCATTGTCTTCTGACTTTCAGGGTTAAACAGAAGAATATCACCAGCCTTATTTTTGCTTATGCATTATTTGCTTGTTTTCTTTTCTGTCAGTTGTATCTAGACATTTGTAAAATGTTTATTTATCTTTTAACTAAATTAGTAGTTTTCTTAATACTTATTTAGGCATAGATGTCTTCTTTCATTGGGGTAGAACAGGCACTTGCCATCTGCATACAGGTTATGTTTTCAGCTCCACAAAATTTCCATATATTAATTTGATTACTACTTGTGTTCCATTTATTTTGTCCTCTTTTTCAGAAGCACAGCTTATTTTGGGTTTCCATTCTCTGTTGTCTGTATCTATTATCTTCTTTCACAACATTTTGATTTCTTTTTTGATTTTCCTGTGGGAGAGCTTATCAGTTTGGGATTCTATGTCACCATCTTTATTTAACGTAATCTCTACAGTGAAGTTTAATTCTGCTATTATGTTTGTAGTTTACTTGCAGTCCTTACATATTTTATCCATTTCCATTTCCTTACATATTTTATCCATTTCCATTTTTATCTCATCCTGTTGTCTTCCAATAAACTTTATCTTCTCTTACAGCCTCCATCCACTGTTTCATGAGGGGTTACTTTCTAGGATCACATTGTGGATACCAATTTCTACATACACTTTTTCAAGATTCTAGAGTATTTCTTTCAGGGATGTGGGCTTGTCCTCTTAAGTCTTCAGGGTTACATATCTTTCACTTATTCAACAGTATTTTCTATTAGGTCTTATGCTAAATTTCCTTGAACAAGATGAGACAAATTCTGATTTAGAGTTCATGCAGAGTAGAATGTGCTGAGGCAGGTGGATCACCTGAGGTCAGGAGTTCAAGACCAGCCTGGCCAACATGGCG